TGCAATAGAGTGATAGGGGTCTATTCTTGCCCTGGTTTCCACGAGGGGACATGCAATAGAGTGATAGGGGCCTATTCTTGCCCGGGTTTCCACGAGGGGACATGCAATAGAGTGATAGGGGCCTATTCTTGCCCGGGTTTCCACGAGGGGACATGCAATAGAGTGATAGGGGCCTATTCTTGCCCGGGTTTCCACGAGGGGACATGCAATAGAGTGATAGGGGCCTATTCTTGCCCGGGTCTCCACGAGAGGACATGCAATAGAGTGATAGGGGCCTATTGTTTCCTCCCGGGTCGCCACGAGGGGACATGCAATAGTGTTCCACGGGCCCAGGTCTCCACGGGGCTTCTGCCGTAGACACCATTCGTGCAGTTTTGATTTACAACAACCGTATTCTTTACTGTTGTATGACATAATATTTCAACATCCTTTACTACATCACAGAAATGTTCATTACATTATCTCTGTATTCAGCGGAAAGGTCACAGAAAATACTGGGAATTGCTACATTGAAAGATACTGGAATTACCCGCACGTAATACTGTGAAGAGCATGGATATGCCCACACCTGCAGTTCAATAGACACAAGTGCTGCGAGAGGACTGTCCAACACCAAGTACACGTCGTGACATTGAGGGGTCGTGTATCAAACTGATTGCTTTAATAGGCTGGAAGGTGTCCCAAGTGACCAGAAGCTAATAGGATTATCAGACGTATCCCCACGTGATCACGAAATCGTTTTCAGTTTTCGTTATAATGATTAGCCATGCGACACCAGCCGAGCTGCCAATGATGGCGGGACTCAATCAGATTGTCCCCTGTCGGCGGATAATTGCTGTTGTATTGCCCCAACAGCCAAAGTCCAGACACGAGAACTGACCTCTTTGTTGCTGGACGTTGTGTGTGACACGCAGAGGTTTGCCAGAGTCAATTCGGCTCCCAGGTCGGGTGTCACACCCAATAGGCTACAGTGATGTCCCAAGTTAATGTTATTGGATTTAATTTCTATTCCCTTGTGCGAACGTTTTAAAATCCAAATATTCTAAGTTTCCGTATTGTACAAATTTAACATTTAAGAATACCTTTTAGATCATTCTGACAGTACTGATGTTGGGCTTTTGATTTCACTTCTTTTATTATTTTAGTGCGACATTTCGAAACAGATACGTTTTCTTTTTTTAGTTTTGTTTGTTTGTTGTTTAATGCCGCACTCAGCAATATTCCAGCTATATTACGACGGCCTGTAAATAATCTAGTCTGGACCAGACAATCCAGTGTTGATATCATGAGCATCGATCCACGCAATTCGGATACGATGGCATGCATCAAACCAAGTCAGCGAGCCTGACCACCCTATCCCGTTAGTCGCCTCTTACAACAAGCATAATCGCCTCTTACGACAAGCGTGGGTTGCTGAAGACCTATTCTTTATTCGGATTATCTACAGAAACGTGTCATGATCAAGCAGGTGACTGGCTTCATTAATTCTACAGCTTCTAAATTTCACGCAGTTTTTCTGTCCATACCAATAAGAGTGCATGTGCTTCGTCTCCCAAATATATTAAAGCATTAAATTGGACATATTGGAAAACAGCCACTCTTGCAAAAATTGAATTTGTTATTTCCACAACCATCATTCAGCGACTTTTCAGCAAGACCATTGTGATACCGGACTTAAATTTGATGGGACGAGCAAGTCATTCAGTAAATAGAAAACGTCAACGACCGAGAATAACCAGTCTTGTTTACCTGTCGAAGAGGATTCAATTGGGCATAAATGGCAAAATAGCAGAGGAAAATATATGAATTGGTCCCTGGAACGCAGTGACCACACAAGCTGTTCGCGAAATGCCTGTGACGACCTGTGGAAGAATAGATCCCCAGTGTCCCATGCTTGTTGTAAGAGCCAGCTGAAGAGGAACCATTGGTCAGTCGTGGTGACCGACGTGGTGTCATCATGTCCAGGTGCTTTCAGTCACTCGTTGGCTTGTCTGGACTCCATACAGGATGTCATTATATAAAGCTTGATGGTGCTGACCGGCATAAAACAACATTTACTCGCTCACGAACTCAAAAAAACAAAGATGATGTCGGAACTTTGAAAGGTCTTGCCATCATACATTATCGATATTATCGATTGATTAACTCTTTCATTCATTGTTTTTTTTCTTCAAAATTCACCACGTTTGAGGAGTAACCATCCAAACACTATGACACTATGAAAACACTATTGCTATAGCACGGCAATATAGTTTGAAGTATTGCAAAGGCACACTTACCAAGTCATAGTTTCTGCTATCGCACTCACACAATCAGCCAACACAACTACTCACCCAATCACTCACTCACCCTGTCAACCTTCCACCCATTTTCACTCATCCCATCACCCAATCATCCATTTCTCATTTACCCAATCACCAACCAACCCATTCTCCAAACATCCAATCACCCACTAACCCATTCTCTAAACATCCAATCACTCACCAATCCTTTCATCAATCATCCAATCATCCAATCATCCACCAACCCATTCTCTAAACATCCAATCACCCACCAACCCATTCTCCAAACATCCAATCACCCACCAACCCTTTCATCAATCATCCAATCATCCAATCACCCACCAACCCATTCTCTAAACATCCAATCACCCACCAACCCATTCTCCAAACATCCAATCACCCACCAACCCTTTCATCAATCATCCAATCATCCAATCACCCACCACCCCATTCTCCGAACATCCAATCACCCACCAATCCTTTCTCAAATCATCCAATCACCCACCAAACCATTATCCAAACATCCAATCGCCAACCAACCCTTAGTCGAAACATCAAATCATCAAATCACCCACCAACCAATTCTCCATACATTTGACCATTGTTCGCATTGTTGCACTTTGGGTAATTATTTTGACTTTTACCAAAGGGCGACAATACCACAAAGCGACATTTTGACCATTTGTCACATTGTCGCGTTGACGCTTTGTCGCTCCCCCTAAAATGTGTGCAAAAATGGTCTTAAATTGCGCGACCATGCCCAAATTAATGTCTTGTTTTCGCCTTTTTCTATAAGTGTTGCGCGTGTGTGAGGGGTCAGTGAATTAATCTACATCACCTAGGACTACCAGAAAACTATGTTCGTGGGTTCGAATCCCAGCACCAACCACATGCATCACTTAGGGTTTTTCGCATTGATCAAGCTGACAGGCGTTAATCAATACTCACTCACTCATGACATTCCGAGGAAACGATGGGTAGAGAGCTTATTAAATTAAGAACATGTTTCACAATAATGTTTTTCCGATGTCTACACACTTCATATGTCAAACTTCAGATAACCGATGGCCTCTTAAACCACAGACAGACATAACTCCTTCTGGACGGGCGTATTTATGCGCATATGTAATTGTTGTAAGATTATGTTTGGTTCAAATTTTGAGCAGTAACTAATAATAGTGCGACAATGTGATCATGCGATGGAATGTCGCATTGATGCGGTTTGTTAAAATATTGGAAGCATGCAGTTATTGATATAAGCGTGATAATGCGACAACGCAAAATTTGGATGAAATGTCGCGTTGTCGCGCTTTCACAAAACGAAGCAAGTTTTCGCATGTGCTCTATACTATTGAATGAATGATTTGATTTGATTAGCTGAAATTGCTATTTTTGAAATATATCAGTGTTTTTGTGTATTCCGTAATATTTTCATAAGTATATGTAGTAATGATCTTAACTGTCACTTGATCGGCTGAATTTGAAATGACTCTAAATCTTACAAACTGTAAAGATATTTGGGTTTAAGATTTTAATATATCTGTGCAAATAAGACCATTTGAATACTTGCATGTTATTATCATGATCTCTGTATGCGTGTCTGTGTGCCTGTGTGTCTGTGTGTGTATGTATGTGTGTGTGTTTGTGTGTCTGGGTGTGTATGTCTGTGTCTGTATGTGTCTCTGTGTGTGATGATCTCTGTGTGACCCCCTCAAACATTGATGAGAACGTAATACCTCGTGAGCCATCATTACCGTCAAGTGCTGCCTGTCCAAGTACTCTTGCCCATGGACTAAACGAGAGTTGGGCCTGTGGTACATGTGCAGACGGTTGCAGCGTCTGTGGTTCATGACGACCTCGTTGTCGTAGCTGTATGACACGGGGACGGCTGAACCAGGGTCGGTCACGTTACCTACCATGAAGTCTGGAGTGACTGACTGAGTGTCGTTATACGCCGCTTTTAGAACTATTCCAGCAATATCACGTTCAATGACACTAGAAATGGGCTTCATACATTGTACCCATATAGGGAAGCGAACCCGGATCTTCGGAGTGAGGAGCGTACGCTTTAACCACTAGGTTATACCACCGCCCCTCCAAAGACTAGAGAAGTTGCCACGCTTCACATATCGCATACATGTTTATTCCTTTCATTAGTTTAAATACTCGGGATTATATTGATTGAAGTTCCCATATCCTGACGCGCATGCTGATTGGTTTGCGCCGTTTTGAAGCATGGCGGCCTTCGGGAGGGGGACGAGCCTTCTGGTCGGTAAACGAACAGATACGAGTGGTGACGAATGTGAAGTTTGAAAAGAGGCATAACCATTTCTGCGCATGCGTAGATTAATTCACTTACTGCACATGCGCACCATAAACGGAAAAGGGCGACAACGCGACATTGCGACATCATCAATATGTCGAATTGTTTACGTTTTAACACCTTTTTTACACACTTTATATGGGGTGAAAACGCAACTCATTTTGACCTTTAAAAATGTCGTATTGTCGTCCTTTGGTAAAAGTTAAACATATTATTCAAAGCGCGACAAAGCGATTATGCGACTAATGGTAAAAATGTCGCGTTGTCGCATTGTCGCGCTTTGGAACATTTTGACACATTTTGATAGTTTCTGTAAGGGTGGGAACGCGACAATCTCCCTTGTGGGATTCCATAGATAACTGCTCATTTGACATTGATTGAAACTAAAACATACGCGTTTTGAAAAAATATCTTTTTAATAAATGACATTTATATAAGTTGACAAAAGTTACAATCATAGATGTATACAATTCATGACATAAATGAAAACTTCGGATACGAGATCAGATCTGATTGAGTATTATTATTTATCATAAAAGAAATTCACAAATATTTAACTAACACCATAGCAAATTTAGTCTTATTGGCTGGACATGTTTGATCCAATGCTACTATTTCCCTAATACCTAAGCGAATACACAAAACACACCAGTACTGTCGCACATTAACAAAAAATACAAGCATTGTTGAGACTTATTATCAATTATGGCCAGGACCATTCAGCTATGTCTTTATAAATTAAGAAATATCGAATCGCCAAAACATTTCCATTGAGCGCGAAAACACATACATTATTTACAAAAGCATATAATATACATGTACACCATTGAGTAAAACGTAAAATATACCGTCCATCGAAACAGTAAAGTCAACTTAGAAGGTGTAGAGATAAAATCAGTGATAGTTACCGACACAATATGATTGACTTTTATATGCTCATGATTTAGGATATTTTCAACAACTCTGTGTTCCCAATTTGACGTGTTCTCGTGATACGTCACCGTTCGATATCAATCGTCGACATCAGTCGAGGGGCTCTTCACGACATCAGCAACTTTCGTTGGCACCATTTACTCTGACTTTAAGACCTTCGTTGCCCTTAGACAAACGGGGCAAGTCTTACGCCGAACTTTGACCTCTCTGTTTCTATTGCTCCAGATACGAACATTGTCCTCTAAGGTATATCAGTTGTTAGAGCTAAAGATATAAACAGTGACTTCACTTTCAAATGACATCCCTCGGGTAAATAGAATCAGTAGGTTTCAATCAGTCAATCACCAATTACGTCAAAATTGTCATCTAAATATAGGGATCTCAGTTTCAGTATTGGATAAAGCTTGACATACAGTCTTCGCAGCATTCGGGGGATCCAGATCTGCTGCAACAGAGGCAAGCGGGGTTCATCCTCTTCTCTGGTTCTGACATCAGACTTGCGGCGTCACTTCTCTTCCCCGTCCGCTTGTTTGAACTCCTACATACGTCACAGCAGTAGGAGTTGGTGAAGCGGCTGACTAAACAGCAGTTGCATCCGATGAAGCGCCTGTCACGTGACATAGGTTCACTTCCGGTGAATTCATTTGCAGACGTGTCAGACGATCTCTTTGAGTGAAATGGAATAACGGCGTACCTTGTGTTCCAGCATCGAAGACACGACATGTAGTTGTATGTGCTCGCGCATCTCAGGCAATCGGAGCTGATTTCCCTCTTGGCGTAGTGTCTGTAGCCGAAGTCTTCATCGGGGAAGATGCTGGCTGTTACCGTAGCCAAGCAGACAGCAGCTACAAGCAGGCTGTTGACTACGAGTGTGTTCCAGGATACCATGTTTAATCTGTGAACCAAAGAAAAAAAAGGGAAAAATACAAATTTAAATCTATCGAATCACTCAAAACGGCTGGACCACCTCTGAGGTCTGGGAATAGATACACGGCATCCTCTACCAGTAAGAGCCGACTAACATAAGGATTGAATGGTCAAAATTAGTGACCTGGCTGATTGCTGCGTATTCTAGCCAAAATTAAAGATTTAGGTATGATAAATCAGAGATATTGCTAAGGTATTTTGTAAACCAATATTCATCACTCAAAAACGCCCGAACCCCGCCTCGCCGAATCGCCTTTTTTGAAAGTAGTGAAAAAAGACTTCACGATTTCCAAATACTATTTTGCCAAAACTATGTGTTTTCAGAAATAAATGGTAATTAAATTACTTTTTGTGGACAATTCTCTTGCATAAGGACGATGTTCTCAGCATCAGCTCACAACACTAACTTATCAGTGCCAGATCCTCTTTCCACAAAGCGATGTCAGCCTAAGTCTGCGTTACGGTATGGGAGTTACGACCGTCGTAGCGCTCAGATCGCTTTGTGGAAAGGGGCCCAGCAGCCACTCGACTGAACCGAACAATACATCATTTACTTGGCAACAACACAATGGTGATTTCAGCTCTGTCCTGTAAGGATGCCTACTATTATAATTGAACATCTGTCAGACTCGATACAGATACGTTTTCTTTTTTCTTCTCTTTTTGTTTGTTGTTTAACGCCGCACTCAACAATATTAAAGCTATATGACTGTGGTCTGTAAATAATCGAGTCTGGACCAAACAATCCAGTGATTAATACCATGAGCATCGATCCACGCAATTGGGATACCATGACATGCATGAACCAAGTCAGCGAGCCTGACCACCCGATCCCGTTAGTCGTCTCTTACGACAAGCAAAGTCACCGATTAAATTACAAGTTGTACAGAAGGAAATTTCGACATCAAGACGTAAACTCTCAATAGTTCCGACATGAGTAAAACAAACCGTTATTCCACAGCCTCACTCATTCAAAAACGACTCCCAAATACAGTTCACATCCAAGCATCATGAGGAGACAGTTTAGACGTGCTACGTATTTATTGGCATTCTGGAGAGATCAAAGGGCATTACACCTCGTCTGCCTATGAAGATCTAAGGCTTCATTACCAGTGTTATATTTGTTATCCTCAATGTACATCTGGCTTCATTACCTGTGCTTTTTGTTTTCCTGACTGTACATTTGGCTTCATTACCTGTGCTATTTGTTATCCTTACTGTACATCTGGCTTCATTACCTGTGCTATTAGTTATCCTTACTGTACATCTGGCTTCATTACCTGTGCTATTTGTTATCCTCAATGTACATCTGGCTTCATTACCTGTGTGTTCTATCTGTTATCCTTACTGTACACCTGGCTTCATTACCTGGGTGTGTTAAGTTATTCTTACTGTACATCTAGCTTCATCCAATTAACCGTGTGCTACTTGTTATCTTTTAACAATTGTTGTTGATGTTAATCAGCTGCTTATCACAGTATATCATGCTTATATACCTCCCTTCACTTGGTGGGGCGGTGGGGTAGCCTAGTGGTTAAAGCGTTCACTCTTCACACTGAAGACGCGGTTTCGATTCCCCACATGGACACAATGTGTGAAGCCCATTTCTGGTGTCCCCCACTGTGATATTGCTGGAATATTGCTAAAAGCGGCGTAAAAACATACCTTAACATAGCTTAATACCGGTGTAAGAGTCAACATCGAAACATCGCTATATGCATTAAACCAGTTGTTATCCATAAATGTGTACGTTTTCTCAGGGGCTGTGGGATCAACGTGTCATTTCTCAGCTTGGGACATGGGTTTATCGGCACCGTGCTCGTTGGTTTCAACAATGTGGTACACGACAACGCCACTTTGCTTACCAACGCATCTGGATGTAACTGAAATACTGTTCCCCTCCCAGCAAACTCTTCTGTTTTGTGTCTCGTGTCTTTGCTTGTACCTTTGTCACAACTGTGACCCTAAAGCGTTTTGTTTTTGTTGTTTGGTGTTGCTAATTTAAGTTTTATTTCCAATATATAGCAATAGATGATTACTTTACCTACACAGGATCGCGCGTACAATGGACGTATCACATGGTCCCAAAGACTGCATTTCAACGTGGACACAAGGCAGTGGTGTCTAGCTCTTCTTTGAAAGCATCGAGGGTTTCGTTGAGGATTGTTGCAGAATAATCTGTAACTTGTGAACATTTGTTTTTATGCACGACCCATAATACTTTAGCCTGTTGCATCAAAGTGTCAGTATTCATGATCAAATGTTTAAGATTTGCATATAGATAAGACCTCACGCACAGAGGTCTCTAAGTCAGACATTTCTTGTGAACGTTTGAAACAGATTAATCGAATTCCAAACTCTGAATACAAAATACGTCTTCAGCACGTTAAGACACATCAGGCGTCTGTCTAAGGAGAGTTGTGGTGTGTCGACTTATATTCACACTTCATTTGTAACTTGTTCTTGGCTCTGATCGCACCAAACGAAAACGAGATTTCATGAATCAGAACGAGGGCTCGAGAGCGAGAAAATGCATAAGCTCCGGACATGACTGTGACAGATGGATCCTGGGGAAATTGCGTGTTGACGACCAGTCGACGTGACTTCCATTTACACCCAGGCTTGGATGGAAGTGTCTTTGTTACTTGCTGAGAGTGGCCTGTTTAGTATTCTACCTTCAACACATGCCTCAAACAATGCGAACACGGAGAAAGTCCCTTTCAAGTGAGTGAGCGAGTTTGGTTTGACCCCTTTGAATAGTATTACGGTTATATCACGGCGTGATTTGGAATGAAAGCCAAAAGTGATGCGGGTCCTAGTCGTTTATCACTTTGGTGAAATGTATAGGGTCAACGCCAGAGAACAACCAGTCTCTATCACCGACAGATCCATGTGGCGTAATAGTAACAAGAGCGGTGAATCCATACGAATGGATCACTGAGAACCAGTGATGGCACCAGGTGTTCGCGACAAGGGTAAGCACTCCCTGCCCTACCTGTAGCACCCGCCACTCATATAAGTTGCATACAAACCCACGTCATACCGCCATACATACTGCTTCTTCTTCTTCTTGTGTCCACTGCTCGGAGTAAATATATGCGTCTGGGTATGGTATCCATGTTAAACTGCAGCTTTGTAAACCGACATAAGTCCGGAGAAGCACAAGTAGCCACACCCACGCTGAGAGAAATAATCTTGAACATGACGCTATGCCCTATTTCACCTCCCCTCAGATTGGTGTCAGAGTACGTTCAAGAAAACCCTATTTCGAACCTGCACGATCTTTTGTGAGCCTCACATATGGCTGTTGTCGGCAGGTCCGAGATGAAAGTGTGTGGAATTAGCAATTAAAACTTACCAACGTCAAGACAGATCAAAGCAACCCTGCGGTGTTGTAAACACAGGAAACCTGAAGTAAGTTTTTCGCAAACAAAACTGTGGAAGAAAGTAATTGTGCATTGATCAGGGTAATGGCTCTGTTTGTAAAAAATATGTAGGTGATTGATTTTAGTTAATGTTGGAGATTGACCTGCAGAATAACAAACATCACAAACTCAAGTCGAAAGAACACGTGCTAAATTCCCAGGATCACATGTCACGTGCATCACGCATGGTTCGCCTTCATAGCCTTTCCCTAGCTATGGTTAATTGTTTAAAAGTTTAAGGTTACATGAAATTGAATCATCTTTTATTTTCATTTTTGCCATTCAGATACTTATGTACATTTCCCCAGTTGGCGAAAAAGCAGTGGTGAAAAACCTCTTCCCGAGAATTGATTCTCATGCAAGGTATGTGTCTAGAGAAGGTGCTGAATACTCTTCGTTCAGGTCTCTTGAAATGTATTACAGACACATTAGTCATGAGACATTATTCAAGAAGACAAAAGTTTATTGGGATACGATGACACGCATCAACCAAGTCAACGAGCCTGACCACTCGGACCCCTTAGTCGCCTCTTACAACAAGCATGGGTTCCCGAAGACCAATTCCAACCCGGATCTTCAAGGGGGAGACAAGTATGGGTTGCTGAAGACCCATTCTAACCCGGTCCGAACGGTTGAGTTGTTTCAAAGGTTAAGTTGAAGCATTATTGATTCCTAAGAATGTGACAGACCGGTATATGTAATATAAGAGATAACCTGTCCTTGTTTAAATATTTGAAATAAGAATATCGACGACGTTGATATGACTACTGGAACCGTTTACATATTGGGAAACCGGGGCGCGACCCACGCTCTTTGAAAGACGAGCGCCATGGAATCTATAATTCGCTCTTTAGCCTTCATCAGTATTGCCTAATCCAGTCAGTGTTTGTCAGGGGAGCGCCGAGTGATGCTCTGTCACGACCTCAAGACTCTTCCAACCACGCTTAGCATTCCGATAGCATTGAATTAATAGCTTCAAGCCGATTAGCAAACACTGGCCCTCTAATTGGTTAAAGCAGGCCAGCTACGATTAATCCTTGGTGGTATTCCTATACTGTCGTTCACGGACATCGATAACGTCATCACAAAGAGCCTATATCATGATATTGCATTATTTTTGTGCATTTTAAAGGTCTCCAAGGGTGTCCAACGTAGAATAATCTAACAAGTGAAACTAAATCTATACATTGCATATCTCCTGCAAGAATAAGAGTATATACAAAATGGCATGCATTCCTAGATCTACAGAAATTTCTGCCAATTGCTTCGACGATTTATCAAAGCAATGATACCAACAGAACTAAAGCAGTACTGCCAAATGCCGTGAATACATCTTGCATTCTAAACACCAGGGACAATGAAACAGTTCTGCATAATTACAGAAAAAGAATAACTCAGTATTCAATACTGCCACTGTTTGTATCGTGTCGGATGATATACTCAGGCAGTGGTCACTCGCATATTAGCATATTATCATACAGATTAACATACATAAATGCATCAAAGAGGGTTTGGATGATCCTCGCACAGTCAGGCTGGTCAGATTCATCGGCAACCCAGTGTCCTTGCCCCCTCTACACGCAGCCCAGACAGCGAATGGGACTTTTCCCAGAAAAACTTCTTTGATAGGCATTTAGAAGTTGGAGTACTAAGTAAGGATAAGAATTTATGGATGAACAACTTCTTTATTACAATTAAGAGCGAAGTTTCGGTGTAGGTTCTAACACCGTTATCAAGCATACCGAAACGTCGCTCTTAATTGTAATAAAGAAGTTGTTCATCCATATATTCTTATCCTTACTTTCTCCCAGAAAGCGCTGCCTTGTCGAACCTTCCGGGAACTTTTCGGAGAATGTGAAGACTCCCCAAAACTGCGGCCTTCTGCATTACCCAGATTGTAACATGCTTCACAAGAGGATCATCAGACGAATACATGAGTGCAAAAGTGCACAATAAAATTCTGTCATGAAGTGTCTCCACGTTAATCAAATCAATATTAATTCGTAAATATGAGTGATTGCAGGAAGAACTTTGATGATGGTGACTTTTTTGCCCTAAGTCTTTTTATGGGCATCCTTGAGATCATCATCATCATCATCATCATCATCATCATCATCATCATCATCATCATTGTTATCATGGTCGTCATCATCCATAGTCTCGGTTCATTATGCATACTACTGCTGACTGACTTCGTCAAGTCCAACTTTGTTTCAATTTATGACTACATACTGCTGATGGTGTATAGGTTTATACGAGCACTGTATTGCTTGATGAATGTGTCATGTATTCAATTCCGTCTGTGTGACTGGACGCCGGGTAACGAGATTAGACTGCAGATTGTTCTTATTTCCCACGGGTTGAATGAGGACCATTGGATGATATAACCGCATTACCATGGCCAGAGCCTGGCTGTTACGCCATATATTGCTTGTTAGCTCCGCTTCTTGATACGCCATTAACGGATACAGGATGGGATGTTATACACGTTCGCACTATTCTGAGCTTGAAAATGCCATTGCGAAATCAGTGTTCACGTTTTGATAGGAAATACCTTATACACTTACTTTGAAGAATGACATGTATACCTTCACACTGAAATATGTTCGTTGTCTTCATCGTCTCATGTTAATCAGTTGCTTTTTTTACTCTGATATTAAATGAAATAGAATGGTGACATTAACATGTCTGAGTCTTGTACACCTTTCTGTATGATGCCAATACGCCAACCCATCTATGCACTGTTTTTACGTATAACATGACTGCGTCTAGATAAAAGCTATAAACCCCTTTCTATATTCGTAAAAAGTGAACTTGAACTATCCAATCTGTTCATATGACAAGCTCTACTCCCAAGAACGCAACTATCCAATCTGTTCATATGACAGGCTCAACTCTGAAGAACATAACTATCCAATCTGTTCATATGACAAGTTCTTCTCTCAAGAACATAACTATCCAATCTGTTCATATGACAAGCTCTACTCCCAAGAACGCAACTATCCAATCTGTTCATATGACAGGCCCTACACTCAAAAACATAACTATCCAATCTGTTCATATGACAAGCTCTACTCCCAAGAACGCAACTATCCAATCTGTTCATATGACAAGCTGTACCCCCAAGGACGCAACTATCCAATCTGTTCATATGACACGCTCTACTCTCAAGAACGCAACTATCCAATCTGTTCATATGACAAGCTCTACTCTCAAGAACGCAACTATCCAATCTCTTAATATGACAAGCTCTACTCTCAAGAACGCAACTATCCAATCTGTTCATATGACAAGCTCTTCTCTGAAGAACACAACTTTCCATCTTATCACATAACCTATACTTTTATGAAACACACCGCTAGCCAGACAAACTCGATGAAGAAATGAGCTGTCCAGTCTCCCCATATATTTTCATGTAACAAAGTCGATGAAGAAATGAACTTTCCAATCTTCCGATATATTTCATATCACAAACTCGATGAAGAAATGAGCTAACCAGCCTTCCCATATTTTTCATATCACAAACTCGATGAAGAACAAATTGAACTACTTAGTCTTCCCACACATTCTCCAGTAACAAACTCGATGAAGAACAGGACCACCTGGTATTCCCATATCTTTCTACATAACAAACTCGAAGAACAGAACTAGCCAATCTTCCCCAAAACAAACTTCTGGAGAGTTTTGATGTTAGTCCCTGTCAATTTCCTTTTGGTTTTCGAAACAAATCATGCAACACGGGTGCCGGGTAATGTAGGTTCCTAGCACTCGTAAGCGTGCGTCGTAAGACTTATTTAGCTCGGATGGTTAGACTTGATGACCTGGTTTAGTATGTGCCCTCGTACCCGGATGATATGGGAGGTTGGCCATGGTATCAATCACTTGTTTGACTGGCCCAGAGTCATTTCACAGGCCGCCAAAATATAGGTGGGATATTGCCGGGAACAATGTAACACAACAAACAAACAACAGACAAACCAAACAACAAATTACGCTCATTGTAATCGTACGCTAAGTAACAGTCAGTAGGAATACAATTCCCTATTTGAACTTAATGATATGTAAGTCAGGTCCAACACAGTAACACTGTTCCACTTCATGGTGTGTAATTTTCATCTCTTCTGTCGTTCAACTTGACACTACCCGCTTGTTCACTGCCTTACCTCTAGCAATACCGGAATCCTAGACAGTTGTGTGTAATCTGTTCATTATCGGTGTTCTGTATTCGATAACTGAATTAATAACTCGATCAGAGTCATGTAAATTCTATTTAAGATTATAACCTACAAATCAGCGTGAAATCATATAGAATACGTCATGTTGTTCATCTTAATACGTATACATGAACCAGATCACACGGATGAGAGTGAGTTAAGGTTTATAGTCAGTCACATCCGCAGTATTTCAGCCATATCCTGAACACGGAGGAGATTTCATGTGCACAAATTATAAACATCTTCTGACCAAAACACATTGCTTCATGTTGAATATATGAACATATTCAAACATTCCAAGGCACACGTCATGTTTTGTAAGAGATAATGCTCTTCATTACACGTCGTGGGAAGTGGGACGGGTGCGCGCAATGATTTGGGATGCAGATGACTCTGTTTTGTCATACCCACGGGTTACTTCGTCATTGGTATATGCATTGTTTTAGAAAACAGACAGTATTGTCTATGCCTTAACTATAATTAAACGCGTGTAATCATGTTTTAAGTTCTATGTTTTCAGGTTACACTCACTTAACTTGTAAAATATAAAATTAAAATATATTTTAAAACTTTCCGACTCCAGGATTTAAATACATCTTATTTCGAAAAATATGTAAAATATATATGTCATTATACTCCATATTCATTACACTATATCCAGCAAATCAGCCAGCATAGCTATGATCCATAATAGAAATATATCTATACACACCTACATACCTACACCTACACCCACATCACACACCACACCCATCGCAGCATGCCCCCACAGGGCAGCAATGACACCGTTACATGGCAACTGTCACCTACCTGAGAGTCTACCTGTGCAGTCCGAGTGTCCAGCTGACCGATGAAGCTTGCCCCGGACTTTATACCCCACAAAGTTCCCCTCTACGCAGTGAGCTCGTGCATTACTCGCGCCTAATCAATTCCCCAATACATTCATATTGATTAACCAGTGCAGCATTGAAGATGCTCTCATTCCATTGTTAGGGGTATTTGGCGAGCGTTGCGTTCATTATGGTATGACATAACACCAAGGAATTGGTCCCATGTGGTCAGTTGTAGTGGTCAGTAACCACAGGTCATCATATTGGTCAATTGTACCATGATTAGTATACAACTTGGTGTTACATTCTTAAATGTGCACAACCTATCCCCCTCCTGTTTAAAAATGAACGAACTCCGTTAAATAATATATATATTACTTTTAATGTGTCTCAGAGGAAATTTCCTAATTTTCGTCAACAGTGGTATAAACACGCCCTCGCGATGGAATGAATTATTGGGCAGGGTGACCAATGGCGAGGAGAGGCCCGTGGGCGCGTGCAGCCCCAATCACAACGCGCGTGTGATGGAAGGGGCGGCCGGCAAGTTCCGCTATATCGTCTACAAACATAGCAGGTTGTAATTGCTCTTTTGACACATTTAGGATACTTAGGATGTCTGGTAGCGGATGTGGTCACACAAACAACCTTCCTTCATTGATCAATACCCAGCGTAACGTATGAAGTCGCCCACGCCGGGACGTCTTGCCACACACACGTCATCGTTGTTTATTGAGACCATATGCGTCTGTCATTATGAAGGGCATTGCGACTTCCAGGGCAAACAGAAGAACCTTCACCTCACACAGCGTCATGAAAAATTAAATGACATGTTAAAATTATTGTTTTTCGATATGGTGGCTAGGACCCAAAGGACAACATAGAAACAGAACAGTAGACACACTTCGATAGAAGCAGAAAGAAGAATTGTTTGGAAAAGTTAATTTGGACCTGTGGATCAATTTTGAGAAATGTTCTTCGAAAATACCGACAGTAATGAATACCGATTCTGTTGTGATCATAGAGTATTGTGAGCAAAGTTATAATATATAGTACAATATTGGCGATTATAATTCATATGTAGGATCCACGCATTAGCTGTGGTCCAATACTGAGTGCGGCGTTAAATAGAAAACAAACAAACATAAATCTTTGACCCTCACGTGAAGCTGATAAACAAATGTATCGACTTGATACTGATGACTTGCTCCATCGCCGAGCCAACCATCAAGACAGATAGTTCTAATAAATCTGCTTGTATGACAACATACATGTTTATCATCCAAAACTGGCTCCCACAGGAGATATCGCTTGGATGAGATCAAGCGATATCTACACTGTAGATATCGCTGCAATGAAATTACATCACAATGCTTTGCAGACCATTGTGACGTCACTGGTTACCATGACGTCACAATCAAATGACATCACTAATGGATCTGCTACTGAAGCCGTTTTCAGTACTTTTTACACTGAAGACACTGCTAATTACTGTCTACAAATTGAAAAAGTTGAAAGAATGATGTTGGATGATAAATAAAATCTCACCCTCGTGTCTTTTGATATCAAATATATCAGCACTCGTTGATAAAAGTGGCAAAAATCCTCGGCAAACCTCGGAATTTTTCCCCTTTTATCAACTCGTGTTGATATATTTGATATCAAAAGACACTCGGGTGAGATTCTCTATATCTACGTAAAGTGTGTCTGAACTATGATTTTATATCACTAGATTACGGCGCCGCTGTATTGATGAGCCGGAGTGAGTAAGAGCGCAATGACGCACTCGCCAAGGATTCTTACGGAGCGAAGTGACGAAGGGCACTATTCAAGTCCCATGCAGGCGGACGAAACTTCTGCTAGAGTTATAAACTGCGAAGTAGTAGGCTGAGCTCTGGGATGGTCTAAACTTAGAGTGAGTATTGTTTTACGCCGCTTTCAGCAATATTCAAGCGATATCAAGGCGAAGGACACCAGAAATCGGCTTCACACATTGTATCCATGTGGGGATGCTTATGCGAGCGAACGCTTTAACCCCACTGCCCCATTAAGAGCCGTAAGATGCGTTGTGATGAACTTGCAAGGGTTTGTAAATGTTATTCCGAAATCTGTCTCACTGATACGAGGTTTATGACGTTGAGGAGACCAATAAACTGTTATGCTATACAGATTGTTATATATATACGAAAAATATCTTCAAAATGAAGGAGTGGGGGGTAGGGGGTAGGGGGTAGGGGGTATTTAACGGTGAAAGATATGTCTTTTTCCACGGTCTTTCTATGTGAATGCACAATGCCATTTCGAAAGTGGTCAAATATAATAAATGTTATATTTTGGGATAAAACTTTCTTAGTAATACATTCTAGTACTTTTGGGGGTTGAGTCCTATCCGTGATTCGAACCCACAATAGCAGAGTGAGGCACCAAATCGCCAGCACACAAAGTCAACGATCTAACCCACTAAGACTATAGTGTGTGTGTGCGTGTGCGTGTGTGTGTGTGTGTGTGTGTGTGTGTGTGTGTGGCTGTGTGTGTGTGTGTGTGTGTGTGTGTGTGTGTGTGTGTGTGTGTGTGTGTGTGTGTGTGTGTGTGTGTGTGTGTGTGTGTGTGTGTGTGTGTGTGTGTGTGTGTGTGTGTGTGTGTCTGTGTGTGTGTGTGTGGCTGTGTGTGTGTGTGGCTGTGTGTGTGTGCGTGGCTGTGGCTGTGTGACTGTGTGTGTGTGTGTGGCTGTGTGTGTGTGCGTGGCTGTGGCTGTGAGAGAGAGAGAGAAAGCAATATTCCAGCTGTACAACCGTGGTCTGCATAAACTCGGCAATCCGGTGATTCTCGTCATCACCATTAACCAGAGATGTTTCAACATGGACCAGGGTATCACGATCCTTGATTCAGTGTGCGTGCGTGCCTGCCTGCCTGCCTGCCTGCCTGTGCGTGCGTGCGTGCGTGTGTGTGTGTGTGTGTCTGTGTGTATGTCTGTGTGTGTGTGTATCTGTGTGTGTCTGTGTGTGTCTGTGTCTGTGTTATGTCAAACATTACGGAATACGTGTTTTTTTAGTACAATCCACATTATGAGAGATCCAGCAACATGGACCATTGCGATTCTTGCATCAGTGTGTCGATGTGTGTTTGTATGTGTGTGTGTGTTTGTGTCTGTGTCTATGTGTGTGTGTCTATATGTGTTTGTATGTGTGTTTCTGTATGTGTGTGTCTGTGTCTTTGTGTGTCTGTGTGTATCAATGTGTGTGTATATGTGTGTTTGTTTGTGTGTGTGTGTGTGTATGTTTGTGACTGTGTATGTGTCTGTGACTCTGTGACACTGTGTGTGTGTGTGTGTGTGTGTAAATGTGTTTGTGTGTGTGTGTGTGTGTGTGTGTGTGTGTGTGTGTGTGTGTGTGTGTGTGTGTGTGTGTGGTGTGTGTGTGTGTAAATGTGTTTGTGTGTGTGTGTGTGTGTGTGTGTGTGTGCGTGTGTGTGTCTGTGACACTGTGTGTGTGTGTGTGTGTAAATGTGTTTGTGTGTGTGTGTTATGTCAAACAGTTTTATGATAAAATTGTGGAGGACATTTCCAAATTTTGACGCGACAGTGACAAAAATGAAAACCAATGCACTTCCGTATTTTGACTTGGACCATATGTTCTCGTGTTATTGTTCTTTTGTCAGATGAATAATTGATTTGCCTTTGCATGTGTTTGTTACAGTGCCACCTGTGGGATTCATCAATATTTGATTGTGATTCACAAACACATGCTCATGATATACTCGGAATCGTACAACTGACTCTGATGTTCTATGATTATGGAGCCGTACATGTCGTGCCTGACAGACCCCGAACTAGAACTGACTCTGATGTTCTATTATTATGGTGCCGTACATGTCGTGCCTGACAGACTCCGAACTAGAACTGACTCTGATGTTCTATGATTATGGTGCCGTACATGTCGTGCCTGACAGACCCCGAACTAGAACTGACTCTGATGTTCTATGATTATGGAGCCGTACATGTCGTGCCTGACAGACCCCGAACTAGAACTGACTCTGATGTTCTATGATTATGGAGCCGTACATGTCGTGCCTGACAGACCCCGAACTAGAACTGAGTCTGATGTTCTATGATTATGGAGCCGTACATGTCGTGCCTGACAGACCCCGAACTAGAACTGACTCTGATGTTCTATGATTATGGAGCCGTACATGTCGTGCCTGACAGACCCCGAGCTAGAACTGACTATGATGTACTATGATTATGGAGCCGTACATGTCGTGCCGGACAGACCCCCAACTAGAACTGACTCTGATGTTCTATGATTATGGTGCCGTACATGTCGTGCCTGACAGACCCCGAACTAGAACTGACTCTGATGTTCTATGATTATGGTGCCGTACATGTCGTGCCTGACAGACCCCGAGCTAGAACTGACTCTGATGTTCTATGATTATGGTGCCGTACATGTCGTGCCGGACAGACTCCGAACTAGAACTGAGTCTGATGTTCTATGATTATGGAGCCGTACATGTCGTGCCTGACAGACCCCGAACTAGAACTGACTCTGATGTTCTATTATTATGGTGCCGTACATGTCGTGCCTGACAGACTCCGAGCTAGAACTGACTCTGATGTTCTATGATTATGGAGCCGTACATGTCGTGCCTGGCAGACCCCGAACTAGAACTGAGTCTGATGTTCTATGATTATGGAGCCGTACATGTCGTGCCTGACAGACCCCGAACTAGAACTGACTCTGATGTTCTATGATTATGGTGCCGTACATGTCGTGCCTGACAGACTCCGAGCTAGAACTGACTCTGATGTTCTATGATTATGGAGCCGTACATGTCGTGCCTGACAGACCCCGAACTAGAACTGACTCTGATGTTCTATGATTATGGAGCCGTACATGTCGTGCCTGACAGCCCCCGAACTAGAACTGAGTCTGATGTTCTATGATTATGGAGCCGTACATGTCGTGCCTGACAGCCCCCGAGCTAGAACTGAGTCTTTTGTTCTATACTTATGGAGCCGTACATGTCGTGCCTGGCAGACCCCGAGCAAGAACTGACTCTGATGTTCGATGATTATGGAGTCGTACATGTCATGCCTAATGTATTAAAAGATCCTATGGAAACAAATAAAACATTACGTGAAAAAAAGAAGTATTTCTTGTGAGGTTTGCAATCCTAAAGAATAGTCCCATCATTGATGACATAGCATCATTAGCATAAACATATATGCATTTACAAGTATAAATAAACTCTTGGGTTCCACGA